ACAGTCAACGGGTAGCGGCGATAGTTTACTCCATGGCCGCTCGCCCCGTGGATGCGCTCAAACAGATCTATAAATTCGGCCACGCGTTCCCTCCAAAAATGGTTCAGCTTCGCAATGGATGAGAAATACCGGAAGAAACCCCGGCTCACATGCGGAAATGCCTGACTCAGCTCCTCAAGAAAGAGGTCGACAGACTCAAGCCCTTCCCGCACAGCCAAATGAAATTGATGCAAGAAGCAATGGCTATCCCAGTACCAAACATTGTTCACGCCAGCCACTGCGGCTGCTATCTTCCGTCGCCGAGAGGACTCATCAGCACCAGCATCGGTCGTCTCGCAGTACACGAAGAAACTGTTCTCGCCAAGCAAGCCTGTCCTCAGAGTCTGAGTCTGAGTCATGTCACAGTTTGTCACCGTCTCACAATTGGTCTCACAATGGTGTCATTGAACAGTGAACAGTGAACAGTGAATGAACAGTGAACAGTAGTGACAACTTGAAGCACTGAAGAACTGGAGAACCGATCCGGGAACGATCCAAACCCTGACTCTTCAGACTCATCAGACTCATCAGAGCGCATCAGCGCATCACATTGCATTTTTATTGCCCGGTCACAGCCCAACACAGTAAAACACACAGAGACAAACTGAGAAAACAAGTCGGCGCAATTTGCCGAACTACCAAACAGCCTGAACAGTTGAACAGCCTCTGAACAGCCTCTGGACAGTCGAACAGAGTCGAACAGGTGAACGGTGAACAGTTTTCGAAATGTGATTGAAGAGCAACTTTGGTCAGTTTGTTCCCTGCCCAGCCCACCCAAACTTTGACCAGAGTATCTGGCACTCACTCACCACATTGTGAACAAATGGCACTCCCATGCCAGTCAGTTGCTTGACATCGATGGCCAAGAGGTCGAGGGCTGTGGCGCCCGATGGCACTACGGCCAGATCTGCCCTGAGTTTGCACGTGTCGAGTCGAAGTCGAAGGCGGTCGAATGGTTCTAAGTCGTAAGTTCAACGTCTTCAAAGTTTGCCAAGCAAAAAAAAAGGGGATTCATGATTCATGGTCTCAACAAGCCTCAAACTTAAACACAACAAAACACGAACTGAAATGAAGGCAGCTGGTGGCTGGTAGGCATCATGTCATCATGGGAGGTGTGGAGGGGGGGGCTCCACAGCTGGGTGATCGGAATCCTGGCAAGTGAAGAACCACTACATAATGGTGAAGTTGGGGGTGTGGAGGGGGGCCCTCCTGGGATGGGCACGTTGGTGGTAGGGAGGGGTGAGGGGGAAGGGCCGGGGAAGGGGGGTGGCGTTTGCTGTTCTAAGCCTAACTAAACCTGGGCCTGGGCCCTGCATTAAGAGTCCGAGGTTCACACAGTGCCGCTTTGCAACCGCTTGTCCGAAGTTGCCGTTGAACCAGTGGTCAAAGTCCTTGATGTAGCTGCAGCTGCACTCCAGCACGTGAAGTTTCTGCCTCTTCCACACCCGCGAGTTTGTCGAATCAGAGCGAAAACCAACAGCGCAAGCAAACCACTTTTCCACCTCATCCTGCTGCAACTGGGACGCGTGAAGGCCCCGCGCAGTATCCATGAGCTCTGCACAAAAATCTCGCATCAGTAGTATCACACCCGCCGCTGTCTTCTCTTCGCACCGCGAAATAGTTTGGCCACTGATGTCGCAGCATGACACCAGCCCAAAATCGGCAGCAGCTACATTACTGAGCGATCGCCTGATGCCAATTGCAAAAATGCTTGGAAGGGTGAGTCGTCCAGCACGTCCCTCTAGCATGCGCCCGGATTTGGCAATCTCAAATGTGTTTCCAGCATCAGTTGCCATTGCCTGCTGGCGCAGTGCCAATGCTTTGGCATGCTTGCCCCTTTTCGCCAGGACGGCCGATATGACGGACTTTTTTCTGGCAGCTTTGAGCTGTGCTCTGAGTCGCTTGATCTCTGCAGATTTGCTTGCAACCATTGCTTTAAGACGCTCCTGCGCGCGTTCAGCCTGGGCAGCTTCAACCATGCTCAAACTTCTGCCGTAGCTGCGGCCGCTGCGGCTGCGTTGGCTAGGCTGGCTTGCCAATTCCAAACGCTCAGCGTCAGCGTCAACGTCCTGAACTAAAACAAGTGCCTCACAGGAAGTAGTTGAAGTAGTAGTTCTTCTCGATGTTGTCGCAGTTGCTGCAGAGGCAGCTGAAGCTGAAGCTGCTTCGTCAGCTGAACACGCTTGTACCAGTTGCTGCCGCCAAACACTGCTGCTGCCAGTGCTATTTGCACTGCCTCCGCGCGGTCTACGCCGATGCCCCCGCCCACGTTTGTTGTCGCCATGTCCACGGTCACGTACACCCTCACCCGCACCCTCACCCTTGCTGCGTTGGCGGGACCTAGCGCAAGCACCACTATGCCCGGAGTCATCAAGCTCAAGAGACACAAGTGCAGCAGCCGCACCCGTGGCTGACTGATTTGTATCCGGAGCCGCCCCAGAAACAACCCAGTTCCGCAAAGACGTCAACCATGGCCGTGATGTGAGCGGTGGCGGTGCAGCGGGCGCAGGCGCTGGTGCGGCGGCGCCTGTTGCCGTTGCCTGCAACGCCCCCTCTCTGCCCTCCTCATCGTCGCTGCAGATTGTGATGGTGGAAGCGCACGAAGGTACTTGAAACAGGGCGCCAATCTTTGCGCAAGCTCTCTGTAATGCATAAGCATTGGCATAGTCAATGCCGTCACGCGAAAAAAGATGCACCTGCGTCCGCGCGAGCTTGACTTGACATGCAGATCGACCACACCCAGCGATCGAGAGCCAATCCAATCAACCAATCCAGAAACAAAGGCAACAACGGTAGCAACACAACTGTCTTAATTCTAATTATTGTTTGATGCAAGCTAAGCTACTCGTGTGTTTAATGCCAAGACCTCATGCCTCATGCCGGGCCATTGCAATATAGGCCAACACTGGCCAACACGATCCAACGTGCCATCCAAACTGTCCCATGCTCAAAGAACAAGTTTCACTTCAAGTCAAGGACCAAGGTGCTCCGAGTCCGAGCGAACCATACCGAACAGCCAAACGCTCGATGCTGGATACCGTGAACATGGGCCGGCATGGGCGGTTTACATGCCAGCTGCGAACCCTGCCAACTTTCATGCACGCCGCTAGAAAAAAAACAGAAGTGCTTCTCAGCTCAATTTAAAACACTGCGCAACGCCTGCTAGAAAAGGGCCGCTCCGCATTCCGCATGACTCCTCGCGCAACCCGCCAAGCCACGCCTTGCTAATTGCTGCCTTCAGCTCACGCCTGGCAGTCGTCAGCGGCGTGCCACTTTGTTTCATGTAGCCTGCCAGCACATCCATCAGCGCTGCTACCGGCAACGACTCTGTTCCGCCAATCAGCCGCAGGTTGTTCTTCACCCATTGATTCAGTGCTTGCGAGGACAGCAGTGAGGCCATGATTAAACCATCGCCATCGCCATCGCCATAGCCATGTTACAAAACTAGGTGGTCACAAAGGTATTGAGTTTACATCACACGCCGTGATAACATCAGGTTTGCTCACCCTGCCCAATGCAACTATAGCAAAAGCTGGCCAAGGGAGGCACACACATTCTCATAGTCTGCCACACAAAACATGCTTTGAGCACAGGCGTCGGACCCTTAACCAGCCAATATGTTGGAAATCCGCACGCCCTGTTTAAAGAACATCACTGCTCGTGGAAAGTGTAAAACTTCAAAGTTCCAGTCTGTAACACACAAATACTTCAAGAGTGAAATTGGCTCATTGTTTGATAACAACAGAACGTAGCAGAATGATAATTGGCACATTGCAGAGGCCTCCCGCTCCAACCTTGCAGATTTCAATTCTTCCGGACTGCGCAAGAACCAAAAGGCAATCAGGGCGCGGAGCGGTTTGATGTCTTTCTACAATGCCTCATTTGGACATACCTCATCCCAGTGAGTGGAGTTTACCACAAGGCAAGGCAAGGCAAGGCAAGGCAAGGCAAGGCAAGGCAAGGCAAGGCAAGGCAAGGCAAGGCAAGGCAAGGCAAGGCAAGGCAAGGCAAGCAAGCAAGCACGCACGCACGCACGCACGCATGCAAGCACAACAAACAGACTAAACAAACATTGAACACACACACAAAACGATCGAACACAAACACATATGACAGACAAACAAACAAACAAACAAACAAACAAAAAGCCAGCACACAAACAAACACACAAACAAACAAGTAATTCAATCAATCAATCAATCAATCCATCAATCCATCAATCAACCAACCAATCAGTGAGTCAATCAATCACATACATCTGAATCAATCAATCTACCTATCAATCAATCAACCAGCCAGCCAACCAACCAACCAACCAACCAATCAATCAATCAATCAGCCAGCAAACTAACCAACCAACTAACCAACTAATTAATCAACCAATCGATCAATCAACCAACCAATCAATTAATCAACCAATGAACCAATCATTCAATCAACCAATCAATTAGTCAATCAATCAATCAATCAATCAATCAATCAATCAATCAATCAATCAATCAACCAATCAATCAGTCAACCAATCAACCAAACAATCAACCAATCAACGAATCGATCAGTGAACCAAGCAAGCAACCAATCAATCAACGAATCAACCAATCAATCAGTCAATCAAGCAATCAAGCAATCCACCAATCAATCAAACAATGAAGCAACAAAAGAAACAAAGTAAAGACACCGAACACAACTAGCATGTCTCCTCAGGCCGAGCAGACCTGCGGACTGCCACAAGGGGCATAATGTATCTATTTTTTTGGAGGGGGGGAGCGACGTCCATCTTAGAAGTGCTCAGACCCATTTTGAAAGGCTACTGTATGGCTGCTATTTTTTTTCTTTTCTTTTTTCCGATGGTACTGCTTTCGGGGTGGTTTGAGAGGAAAACCAAAGGGACACCACGACACAGCCGTAACTACTGTTATAATACTTTTCTGTTGCTTGGGGGGGGAGGAAGCCACGCTTGCCTTCATGTGCCGCTTGGTGGGCTGCAAATACCTGGGCTGAGAGCTGCCGGTGCGATAGACCTCCAGAAAAACCATCCATGTCCGATTTGGTTTCCTTTCTTCGGGAATCCCGAAACGGCTCAGCCCATTTCTCACTCACTGAGAACCAGAATAAAAGTGATCCTCTACTTGAGGACAACACTCCTTTCATCTTTGGTCCACAGGCAGGACCAGGAGTGTCCTACAAGAGCGAAGAATTTGCTTATTGACAAGCAACCCCGGCCCAGTCGACTGGGTGTGTTTAAGGGTTTCTGTATTACGCTTTGCGGTTACACTATCCGGGAATTTCCTTTATAGGCAAATATTCAGAGTGTCATCTGCCACAAACACCTCCTGAGGGCATGTGTCAAAACTGCGGATGCAGGATAAAACGGAAACTAACAAACGCGAAATGACAAGCCCGATTAATCTGAAGGACCGTGCAAAGTGCAAATTATAAGCGGCACCCTTTTTAGTGGAGACTCGATTCATAGGGAGGGTCCTCCATGCGTGAATCCAAAGGTGACATTCCGGCCATAAGAAAGTCCCAAACAAATCCAAAGCTAAACAATATGGCAAACCAATGACTTGCTGACTAAACCAATTGAAAAAGAATAGAAACTCAAATCACAATCCAGCGTTCTACCCTTGAGACTTACAGCATGCGGGTATGACTTGTCATTGGGAACCCTTGCATTGCACATTTATTTAAGGGCGGATTTATGTCCCACATTAAAGGAAAGTCCAACTCTTGAAATTCACAGCCATACTGGGGATGTATGCTGCACCACTTTGAAACAATGGGAAACCATTGTATGTTGCTAATTACGGGGGAATCGAATCATTCCATGGTTTCTTCGGTGGTGCAGGATTTTGCCCGTCCACAGTATCAATCCCTGACAAACCAGCAGTATCAATCCCTGACAAATCAGCAGCCCTCCAACCGAGCTCCCGCACTGTCCAAAGGTGACCATCTCCACCCCAGCGGCGCTCAGGTCCCGCAGAGTCTGAGCAAGGCACATGAGTCAAACACAGACCAGCCACGTGCTGAAGCCTGAGGCACAACCATATATTTACATAGTTTCTATTTTACTCTCTCTCTCTATATATATATGTATCTACACATATGTGTTAATATATACATATATATATGTCTTGTGCATGTTCATGAAGCATTATATACATACGCACTTTGTGCTATACGTTTTGAGCCTCCCTTGTCCAATACCCCACATGACCTCATAGAACTTCACCACCAGTGCTGGGTGCGCTCGAAAAAGCTCTGCCCGCGCAGTAAGCGACGAGTCGCTTAAGAGGTACTCCCTTGCAAAACAGAAGGAACCCAAAAAGGGGTCCTCCGAAGGCCGAATTTCTGTAGGCTGCTTTGGGGTTCCATGTTCATCTGACAAGTTGCTGCCCTTCTGGGCTTGCTTCAAGGCAAAGCACATGCTAAACTAATATGGACGTGTCTCTGAGTTTTGGAGCTGGCATTTGTGGGGATCCCGAGAAAGCAAAACAAGCACAAATGCAACGGTTGATGCCCTAGGCATTGCAAGCATACCGACCATACACCCAGGCATCTTACAGGAAGTTCAACTTGTTCACACGCAAAATTAAAGGAATCAAGCCTGTAGTGGCTAGTAGTTCCAACTGGAGGCCACAAAACGCTCTGGTCACGTGGCGACTCAACAGAAAGAGGGTTTGCAACTGCATGGCAAAGGACACCCTTTTTGCTCCTCTGCAACTGAATGGACCTCTAGACATGGTTCGGTTCCATCATGGTCCATGCTGGTGGTGGTTCAACAAATTCCTGGTTGATTGCCAGGGAAGTGTCCCATTTCAGAGGACATCCCTCATTCTTGGAAACCCACCACACATGAATCCACCAGGTGCTTTCAATCGACCCGGGCATCTTCCTGTACCGCCTCAGATCTAGCACACGATTGGATGTGCTTTCGCGAATCCACCCCACCCCTACGGAATATTAAGAACAACGGAAGGACTAACATCGGGGGAACAGGTGGCATCCAAAAAAAAGCATCGATTTCTAGATGAATACCCAACACTAGAAACCGACAGGCCCTACTCAAAACCGATACCCTGGTCACATTGACCGTTGCTCAAATGAGTCATAATCAAAACCCGGTTTTAAAATGGTGTACCAAGAACCATCTAAATAATTGAAAGGGCGGCCACATCTATGGTTGGGACTATCCCTCAGCCTTTATGTATCCGAAGCGGTATTGTTTGTGGCGCTCATTCCAGACCTGGCTTGGACTTCGTCCAACAACCTCCGTTTGCAAAAGACACAAACAAGTATATGCAATAGTGACAGATTCCCACTAAAACCAACGGGTTTTGAGGGCGCAAATGATACCCCCGGCCGGTTGAAAGTCCGTCCCGATTCGCCTGATGGACCTCCTCGTCCGTCTCGCCCAAGCCCAGCATGATGGAAGACTTCGTCACCACGTCCGGGCGCGCCTGGCAGGCGAGAAAGGCCAACCTTCAGACCGATCCAAGGACCTTGGGCGCTCGTTGGATCCCCCAGCAAAAAGCTTAACTGTCTGCTGGCTAAAAGTCGAAATATGAGGGGAATCCGAAAAGTTGAAGTCTAAAGATCCAACCCAGCAGTAGAGCGACCATACAAGTCAGGGGTGGTCCCTTTGAGCGGGGGATTTAGTGCAGCTTAGCGGTTTCCTCTGATTTGTTTGGTCCTCGCATTCATCCGAACTCAACGTTGTAGAAATTGACCGCACTTTGCAGCGAGAGTACTCAACATGTTTCTTTTTCCGTGTTGTTGTTATTGCCAAAAAGGGAAATCTAGCTGACCTTTGGACACCCACATAGGCCACAAAAGCACCGACTTGCCGGAACTCTGCTTTGCAAAGACAAGCTTGATCTCTGCCAGATTAGGTTTCCCATGCAACACAAGTCCGGGACGGGTGACCACTAGTGTTTCAAAATGGCTTCCACTACCCCAAAGCCATTTCCGCAAAGATTTGCAAATAACCTCAAAAAGTCTCAAAAGAGGCTTGACTAGTGATTTGTGGGAGTGCTAACCAGCCAGACAAGGACGATGAGTTCCTGAGTTTGACACTTAGGACACACCGCGTTCCACATGACATTGTCCCAGCCGCCTGCTTGGCATACCGCAGAACCTCCATGGTTTGAGCATACCCAGCTCGGCGATCGCGGACAGTGGGCGTCAACCTTTCCACCTCGGCGAGCGAGCGAGGTGGTGACCAGCACAGGCTCTGGAATCGACTTGGGCTGCGTGTGTGTTTATTGCGGGAACTTACCCTTCTCCAGCTGGTCCAAAAGGGAAACCAACGCAAAACCAAAGGGAAACCACCCATTTTGGGGTCCGCCTCATTTGACACATACCGGACATACCGAAAGGGTGAATCTCCCAACATCTGTCACTTGTTTCCAATTGAAACCACCCGAACCCCGAAATGACATGTGCCCTAGACGCGCTTCTGGAACCTCGGACCTCGAACATGGTATCAACAAACTGGGCATATGAGCGGGGGGCATGGTCAAAATCAAGGGCCCTTTTTGGTGTCCCTGTTAAAACGCAGCACAGGCACCAGGGTTCAAAATGCCATTCACGAGCGTGCCACTGCCAGATTAGCATCATTTGCAAACTGGGTTCTGAGGCATTTGTGGACCGTGATCTGCATGGGTGAGTTCGGTTTCCAGAGTAGAACAAATGTGGGTCAACGAGCTCTTGGGGCTTGCTGTTCTTGATATCATAACCTCTGTTTAAGTGGCACCCCATTAATTCCAGAAGTTGGTCGGTGACAGAATCAAAAAACTAGGTATGAATACCATCAAATATGAGCTTCTGCTCTTGGTCCATGTGGGCTTTGCTTGTCTGACTGTAACAACCCCGAAAAAGAAAAACAACATTGGCCCCCCATCCTAAATCCCTTACAAACCACATGTCCTTTCCCTAACTTGTGCGCCAACTCACGCACAATTTGACTTGAAAAGCCTCCGGATCCCTTAAATGGAGCTGGTTTCAACAATGTCTTGGCCTGTTTCAGAACTAGGGGTCACCTGAAATGGTTGGTGTCCTTTGCTTTCCCTTCAATTACTCCACCATGTTCAGAAACTCATAATGTTAACCCCAAGATCAGCAGAACTGGTTGATAGACAGGGAGCAACCCCTTTAGTGGGGGTTCACCTTTGGAGGGGTTCAACTACCCAAAACAACATCGGCCCACCTCCAGGACTCCACCCAACAAAGAGTCAGACGGATTCTGCTCTATCAGCGGGCAGCGCCTAGACCGGTCCAAACCAAGCGGCGGTCTCCACGTTGTGGGCGAAGACATCCATGCCGCTCTCGAGCACCTCTCGACCAACCGCTTCCGAAGCGACATCGCGCTACTACTGGGAGCCTCAAAACGCGAACCATCCTTCGGGTTTCGCTTTGGTGAGGGCAGGCCCGGTCCGAAGCAGCATGCGCAAACAACCTCTATCTGCTATGCTTCTTCTTCAGACACAATACTTCCATGCCAGCGGCACAACAAACAACAAAATAACACCAGATAACACCAGTCATGTGTACATAAGTGCTGTCCCCCCCCGGACTATCCCTAAAGAGGGTCCTGCTAACTGGTTCCACTCCTAGGGTGCAAAGAGGGTCCAACATTATACAAAGCGGGCCTTGGGAGTGCAGGTGTTCCTGTTTTTGACTGCTTGCACTCTATTCTGCTGTTTTGCAGTGCCACGTACTCGAACAGGCATAGGCTCCGTTCCCACAATGCTGAAAGCGGACTCCCACAGTCGGATTCCGCAACGTCCTCGGCCAAGGAAGGATGAAACCCACATAGCACAGAGGGGAACTCCGCAAGTTAATTTCTGCTAATTTGCAGGAGAGTAAGAGGGGTGGATTCTGCCCTTAAAAGAAACACTGCATGATGAAACATGGAACAACTTTTGGCAGGTGTTGCAGTGCTGTGACACTAACCAGTGCACATATCACGCAACATGATGTATCATCGCATCATGCACAAATACTCAAACGCCAAAAAACACCCGCCCATTTGAAAACACCATTTGACACACACACACACAGCGGAACATGAACAACAACTCTAGGGGTACCTTCCCCCTTATTTCCAGGGATCCTTCCTTCTAGAAAACCTCCGGAAACCCAGGGAAACGGCCAGTTTTTGGAAAGAACGATGGTTGAAAAGAATGGACAAGGAATCAACCCCTAGAACAATACATGAACACCAAAGACAAAGAGCCCTTCAGCAGCTCCCAGCGACCTTTTGCCCCGCCTCTCGGATCAGCTCCTTGCGACCCTGGAAGTCACCAATCAACGTCTCCACCTTGAGATCTGGCTGCCTGGCGAATCCGCGGCAAACCAAACTGAGCGGTCTCTTTTTTTGGAGGTACCCGTGTTTGCCGTGTTTTTGCAAGGTAAACCAAAAAGGACAAGGAAAACCAACCAGTTTGGGGGTCCCCTTAAAAAAGACAAAGCCTTTTGAGGAGTTGTTACTTCAAGTTAGAAACCAAGAGGAAACCAAGCCCTTGTTCCCCCCATCGGGGGAAGAAGGAGGGATCAACCTAAGTCCGTGTACGTGACCTGGGGCCGGGGGAATGTAGGACCAACTTGGCCCGCATCTATGAGGTCAACGGCCCCAAATTGGGATAAGGGGAAAGGGCAAATGGGGAGAAAGGGATACGTACATGCGTCGTATCTACAAGGGGATTTCATGATGGGATAAGAGGCCAAAGAACCTTTGGCATTCATTACTTGGGACATAAACCGCTTTTGTAGGCCGGCGAATTATTGATACACGGGCACGGTGTTAGTCTTGCGATTGTTTGAGCGGTTCTTTTTCAAAGTAATCTGTTACATGGTGATAGCAGGAACACGTTTAGAGGGAATCCCGAAGTTCGGAAGATGACGCAACCCCAACTTGGGCCTTCCACTCACGCCAGGTAAGTAGGGCACCACCGTTTTGTACAAGTTAACAAGGGAACAAACACCAGTTACCCTCCTGTCCACGCTGCCATGGAACCTGACGCTTCGGGAACCTGAAAGACTCTTTTCCTTTAAAAGCGACCGAGCCTCTGGTGGGTTCTAACGGGGACATGAGGCTATCTACCCCTGCTATGGTTGCAACCTGCTTGCCTGACGTGGGTTCAACAGGCAAGCTTCATTCGGGTTTAAACCTTCACCAGCTCCCATTAACTTGCTCCCATTGAATCCTATGAGTACACCCCCCCAGCACCCCAAAACCCAGAGTCTTCACCTTGGGGAATAACACCTTTATCCAGGTCGATTGATGCGGGGTTGACTTTACTTCCTGGGCGAAGAACATCAACCACACCACCCACCCATAGGATTTCAACCCCCAGGAAACCACCGCCACACTCCAAACTTGACCCAGGCTAATCGGAAAATAAGACTTTCCGACTCTCTCCCGTATTTAGTCTACCCAAAAATATGGATTCTCAAAATCGGGGAACCCGCAAAATGGGTGGTTTCCTTTTGAACTCCTTTTATCATCCAAAAAGGGAAGTCTCAAAAAAGCCGCATAGTATATACCATGTTCTGAGACCCCAGAAACGCTCCAAACGCCACGCGTCCCCTCGCCTCTGCTTCAACTCCCGAACCGTGGAGGCCACATGTGCGGCGCCCTGGTCCGCCAGGTCATCGCGGTCCACCTGGAAAGACCAAGACGACGTCTTTGAGCGTAGCTTCGAAATGAAGAAATGGACCCCCCATTATTTGGCTTGCTGTCAAAACAAATAATTAAACATCGAAAGAACACGTCTTCTACAGTTGAGAAGTTGGACCAACATGATTGGCTTCCTTCTTTCCTGCAAAGCCAAAAAGCGGCTCCCGGAGAAAAGAAAAAAAGGAAAGGAAACAACAACAATTTGCCTCAGCTTTTGTCCGCCCAGAAAAAAAGCATCTTTAATTCTGAGCCCATGGTGAACGCAAAACGTGAACATGTTCAAAAGAGATCCCACTACACCTTTTCCTTGAGGTACAGGCTGCGTGGGCGAACTGAAGAACAACTCAAAGTTTGACACTCCTGATCTGTTGCAGAACTTAAATCACACTAGGGACCCTACTACCACAGTTCACATTTGTTTGAAGGATGCCTCGCACTCACCTGAAAACCATGAGAATAAATACCTGGGTAGGGTTTTCTTTTTCGGCTCAAGTTCCGCGACCTTCATTTCGTCTGAAAATCGGGGACCCCTCAAAGTGGTCGAATTTTGGTTTGGGTTCTTACAGCCCAAAATGGTTGGCTTCTTTTTGGTTTCCTTCCTTGCCCGAAGAACCTGCGACCTTTGCAAAACATGAACCAAACAAGGGGCAAACCAGAAATAGGCTTTGGGCAAGTGAGTTTCCCATCAACAGCAACCTGCCCTCAGATCCCCTGCTAAAAGTTTGACTGTTGGTGGGATAAATGGAAAACCCTACTAGGTCCTCCAGCAGAGAGGTTAGAATACGGGCACCCTGTTTTTTCTGTAGTCCATTTTGGTAGGGGACCCCTTCCCCAAACAAGTTGGTGAGAAACGGCACTGGGAAAAAAAGGTGGACAAAGAAAGGCTAAGGAGGCTAAAATGGCTGGGCTTGCCACCAACCCAAAGTGGCACCCTCAAAAACACGCCTCACTCCCGGCTCCCCAGCTCCCCAGCTCCCCAGCTCCCCAGCTCCCCAGCTCCCCAGCTCCCCAGCTCGCAGCCGTTGGCTGAGCCCCGCGCCATGGTGAGCACAATGTAGTCCACTCCCCAGCGAGTCACGGCTTCAGCCACCTGCCGGGGACCCAAAATCGTGGCCTTCCTTTTGGCTTCCCCCTTTGAAGCCAACAAGGGGGTCCCACAGAAAATCCGCGCCCATCTATCAAAACAGGGGTTCCCCCCCCCCCGAAAAAAAATGGGCAGTTTCCTCTAGGCTTCCCTGTGAAACCACTCCAGAAAGGGTACTCCAAACACGACAGGCACACAAATGACATATGTTCATTGACCAGGGTGGGGCAAACTCTGCATAACACACAGAACACACCAATATCATGGTTCGCCTCAAAAAAGAAACCAAAAGGAGAGTAGTGGTTTAAACATCCTTAAACTACGGGGTGGCAAAGCCATCTCATTAGTTGGAGATCAGCCCGCTTGGATTTAAAAAGCCCAAACTGCCCTGGTCATGTGCAATGTGAAAGGGATCTCTTGTCCAGTTGGATAACCCCAGACTGTGAAAGCAACGTACCCCCTCCCCAGTGTCTGACTTGCATTCCTGGAAACAGTCTCAATCATCAGCGCAGCATGGAGCAAGCGGAACTGTGTTTATTGCCACACTTTGCCAAGGTTTTATGGTTGCATGTGTGTGTGTGTGTGTATATATATATATGGTACCCCCCCCCCATGGACCCTGGTTTGGTGCGGTTGACCTGTATTTTCCAGTGTTTTATGCTTCTTTTTGCTTCTTGGATTTGTGTCAAAATTGGGGGGTAGGGTCATACATGTATATGATACGCATGCATGCATACAGATGTGATAAAAAGCAATGACATCAGCACCTGCAATCTGAAAGAGTTTGAATGCATCCAAGAATACAAGAACAACTCAGACATTTTTAAAAATTATTAAAAATTATGGGATTCAAGATTCAAGATTCAAGAATGTGAGAAAATATTTTCTGGGAATCTTGAATCTTGAATCCCATAATGTTTAAAAAGTTTTAAAAATTCCAGGGTTGTCCCAATACTCTCGGTGTTCAATAAGATTCTCGGAAAAGGTTTCCGTGAAATAGTTCAATCCAGTGGTAACGGATGTTCGAGGTGATAGAACAACTTGAACAGTTTAGGGGTTGACCAGGATGGATGATTCTCAGGAAAGTGGTGGTTTGTGGGCTCCTCAATATTGAATCCCCAATCCAGTGGTAAAGCACTTTCAAGTGTTAGAATGCTATTTGGGTTTGGCCAGGATTGACAATTTTCAGGAAAGTGTTCTGTGTAATCTTCAATGTTGAATCTTCCATCCGATAGTAGCAAATTTTCAAGTGCTTAGCGATCCAGTGGACACACTTTCAAGTTATTGGTTAGACAAACTTTCAAGTGATTTTGGTGAGCTTCATGTCAGCTATGCTCGTGTTGACCCCTTTCCAGGAGCTAAACAAAGGCAGGTGCAACGCTCAAAAATACTGTATTTTCCAGTATTTTATGAGGAGGCGCAGGATCATTGGGGGTACTATATATGTGTGTATGTATGTGTATATATATATAGATAGACATATGTATGTACGTTCACACACCGTCCCCCACCCTCTTCAACTACCTGTCCACATTTGCTCATCTACTACCTCCATCTTTTGAGGTAGAATTAACTTTCCTGTGCAAATAGAACTTTAAATACAACGGTTTAGCTAGAATCCCTGTTTCGAGACAGTTTTAGATTTTGAACCTCTCTTCCCTTGAAATTTCCAGTTGGAACACCGTCTAACAAGTTCAATGTCGGACCTTTCTTATGCTACAAAAGGGCCAGAATGTAAATAACACAAATCCTATTTTGAATTTCCAAATGTTTAGCCATATTTAATATGAATTATATTTGAGATGTAGTCTCTATTCACTTGATATTATCAAAAGCAAATTGAGTTGTGTTCGTCTTAGATTATATTTATCACTTGGATTATATTTGGGAAACCACTTCCATCTAACTTCTTGTGTTATAGATTAGTTGGAGTTTAGCCGAACATATATATTTACATTTTCATGTAGCTGCTATTTGGAAAGGATTTGCTTGTTTAAGCTGTAATTGAACATAAACACATTTTTGAAAACTAGATCCATACTAAACTATATTCAATATTCCAATTCTAGTTGAGGTAACATCTTATTTGCAAAGGGTATCATACTGGGACATTGTGGAGGACTCCGGGCTCCAAATTATCACGCTTTGGGGACCCACAATTGGACATTTCGAGAATATAAATTTGGGAAATTCTAGATTTGCCATCCCCAAAAGGCAGCAAAACCAGGGTCCATGGGGGGGGGGGGGGGGTGCATATACATATATATATATATATATGTCGGTGGTTGACTTGCAGATTTGGGTTTGACTGACCCAAAATGCGCGGCTTCCCGGGACAAAAGAAACAATAGGGTGCCCTCAAACAATGACAGATCCATTCTTCGAAACAACCCTGGCAATGGTATCTCTGGAAAAAACATGCCGGTTCTTCAAAACAACCCCAAAAACAAGTACCCTAAATATGGATGTTTCTCAGATAGGGACCCTTACCAATAGTTTGATTCCTTTTGGTCTACCTTTGACCCCATCCTTTTAGAGGTTTAGAGGGCTATTTTGAGAAACCCCCATATTGAAAACTGGGCTGTCCTCAGATCCCCCGGTCAAAGTTTCACTTTTAGTGGGTTAAATGGAAATCCAACCAAAGCGATGCCCACGGCACAGCCAAAGCTTTGGGCCGTGTTTCCCACTCCAAAATCCCCCGCCTTGCGCGGCTCGTCCACATCCGGGGGCGGCGGGGTGCGCGAGGTGGCCTGAGATCGATCCGTTCGACACGTCAAATTGATGCCGGGTTTCTTGGGTACTGGAAGGACCCCTCCGCAAAACGGTTTATTTATTCTTTTTTTTGGGGGGGGGGGGCACAATGGAAAATCCTACCAAATAGCTATACAAAAATCCAACCAAAAATCCAACCAATGGCAAATCTTTTGAACAAGTTCATTTTTTCTTTTTGGGGGTCCAATGGAAAATCCTACCCAACCAGAAAGTTATTTAGGATAGACTTTGGTTGGGTCTTTGGTTGGGTCTTTACTTCCAAAGTTGAAGTCCAAAGACCCAACCAACTAGCTATACAGGTTTGGGGATCCCTGAATTCAGGTTCTGGAATAGAATTTGCGCATCGAACGAGGCCACCGGTTGAGGGTTGATTTTGAAGGGGGCGATACAGGGGAGGATATTAGGGGAGGGGGAAGGCTTGGAACCCTGATACTTGGATGTTCAACCCACGCCGTGGTTATGGCTGGGGTCACTGGGCTAGTTCTCTAGTATCCATGGCTGTAACCTGGCCCGTGGGTTCAACATCCAAGTTGGGTTGCTACGAATCTACTTGCTCGGCACCATTCAGAAATTCGGCCGGTAAAGGGAAACCGATGGAATCCTAAACAATCTACCCTTGGGGTCTGGTTTTTGCGAATGGCTCGGAGCAAACCGTCTTTATGTGGTCAAAAAACAGTTCGAAGGCTATAAAAATAACAGGAGAAAAGTAGCACCACCCAAATGGCCGGCTTTTTGGGGTTCCACGTGACAACCTGCAGGGCAACTTGGCCACAACTGTGTATGTGTGTGCGAGCGCGTCTATGTGTGTTTTTGTTTTTGCTGAAGGCGCGTGTTTCAGGTCGATTCAAAGGGAACCCCAAAGGGAAACCCAGAAATTTGGTTTTTGTGCAGGAGGAGTCCCCCTGTTTTGGCTTCGCCAAAACGAAACCCGCCGTCTTTTTTGGGGGCGGAAGAGGAGTTAACCTGGACACGTCCCCTGACCATTCCCCGGCCCGGGTCGCCGCTGGGACCCCCGGCGACTGAGCAAAACCTGCAGCCACGCGTGCAGGTGTCGCCCATGATCATCACCTGGCGAGGTCAGCCCGAAAGTCGATGGTTTTCACCCCCAAACCACATTGGGTGGGAAAAAAGGGTATGTATCTAGGGGTTGATTCCTTTTCCATTCTTTTAAACCATTGCTCTTTTCAAAAACCAGCTGTTTTCGCAGGGTGTTTGGTGGTTTTCTAGAAACAAGGATCCCTGGAAAGAATGTGGAAGCAACCCTTAGAATGTAGCATGTAGCCTGTAAATGCTGTGGCCGGTGCCTTTTCATAACCCATTACAATTCTGGGGGTAGCGGTGTTGGGCAGTGGAAGTCATCTTAGACGCAGAAACCAGCGACAGGACTTTCTACAGTTTAGCTGAAACTTTGGCATGTGGGTATTAAAGCAAAAGCAAATCTGTAGATGTTGTTGTGCTTGATATGAGGTGTGGCTCAATGTCATTATTGCTCGACAATGAACCACAAAGCCAATATGATCTGAAGCTGCAATGTGGCCAAGATGTGTGCCAGTCTTTCACATCACCTTTCTGAGTTGGCCTTCAACTCTCTACAAGTCCACTCGTTTGACCACGAAATGTCATACTCCAAAACGGTGGAACAAAAAGATAATAAACCCAGCTTCTAAACAGTAAGCAATCGGGTGTGCTTTGGAAAATCGGGAGCCAAAATGCAAAAGTGCTCCGCAGGAGTGAAGGATCACCGAAGCAGGTGGCAACCTCATAATCAACCGAGGGTGTATTCCTGGGCTAACATGGGTTAACATGCTCCCCCTCCAAAGGCCCTTCCGAAAAGTTGGCCTTTGTGCCCCCGGTCTTAAGGGTTACAACTCAGGCCTTATGCGGAAATGCCTGAAGGTTGGATAAAAGCCACAGGCAACAACTCAAACAAACGAGCGAAACAAGCAAGAAATGCCCCACCCCCTTCAAAAGTTGCTCAATTTACTGGCGGTGGTTTCCATTTGAAAAAACAACTCGCTACTTTCGGCGGTTCCTTTCAAAGGGAAAAAAAGGAAAACACCCTGCCACTGGATGGGCTGTCCCCCCTACCTTCAGGGGGAGGGGGGATTCCCTGATTCCATTTGTCTCGTCTTCCCCATAAAGGGAAAGTGGAACCATAAATGGAATTCCAGGGGTCACCCCCCTCCCCCAATTCCATTGAGGGGTTGGGGATCATGGGCTTTTTGCATCAAACCTTCACTCAAACGTGTCTGGAGCGCTGTGGCGGTGCCAGCTGACCAGCACTCCCCGGCATTGGGACATCGCGCCTCTTGGCAGACCTCCGGCGAACAAGTTTTTGAACGCGACCCGAAACTTCGAACCCGGAAGCTCTGGTGATACTTGTCCGGGCAATTTGTTTGGCTTCTGCTATATGTCGTTTTGCCGCTTCCTTTTGGTACATGTGTTGTCTTTGGTGCCTGCTTGGTCTCTTTTGGGCATATGTGGTACCTTTTTGGGCTTGAAGGGGTCATGTAGGGTTCGTCATAGACTGGTCATTTTGATCAAACCTCACAAGTGAGGCTTGTCTATTCGGAACCAGTAGAACCTTAGACCCGTTTTCGCTTGAAACATCACATTTGCAGCCAACCGGTTTGCGTCTAGCCTGTGGTAGTGAAACGACGGGGCCCAGAAACTGGTCCTCCTCATTTTCCCTTGAAACACCTCAACCATGAGCACCAGACAAGCTTGCGTCTAACTTGGCGGAAATCGGTGTTTCAGATGGGACCCTGTTAAGATGGTCCGGTCCTTTCCCCTTGAAACACCCAAAGCGCAATTGGTGTCTTCTTGCGGACATCCCTCGCGACGGCATTTGGCAAGGGATCTACCCAAAATCCGTGCAAAGAGTCCAAAGGGCGCATATTCGCACTTGAATGTTTAAACCACGTAAGTAGGTTACTGGGGCGTGGTAACTGGGGCAACGCGGGCTCAGCTCCTGCACCTTCATAACCCCTGACGTGGGTCGAACACCCGAGCATTTATGGTGTTGGGACCATCATCCGTTCTCACCTGCTACTAAGGACATGTCTCAGCCTAAGCGTCCGACAGTAGCAAGGCCGGTCTCCTTGATGGTGGCTCTAACCTCCTTGTACCTCGCCGCAGCCCCGGACTTAGTGAAGGGTTCTGCTCCCTTCAGTGCTTTGGGGTATGGAGGACTCTCATGTTCAACCCACCAGTGATCGATCTCCTTGCCTGATATGAGTTGAACATCCATAGGCCAAGCAGCAATCAGAATAGACGAAGGTCGACGGAATGGTTCACAGGTTTAAAGGTTGAATATCCTCTGATTCAAACACAAATCTGAGGGCCTAAATAATTAGAAAGGTGTCGTTCTTGTGCTTTTGCACTTTGAAGCCTAGTTGAGTCATGATAAGACAAGAATACGTCATGTACCTGGACCCTCAAACTCGCCATTGAAAAGGGAAAACTGGAAATACCCCATATCTTCTTGGCAATCCCTCTTTTGTGGGTATCTTGAGAAGTGATTGTTTAGCCCCCGCCCCAAATTGGAGGACTCGCGAACTCTCGAACCGAAGCCGCACCGCTCGGCGCCCTCCGGGGTCAAATTCGGATTCGTCATCTTCAGCCTCGGCGTCGGAGCCCGTCTCGGCGTAAACTTCAAATTCGGATTCGAATCCAACCCGGTGGGACACCAGGGACATCACAGGCGCAGTGGGAGTTCTTGTGAATAGTTCAGTTAGGACACCACCCAGAAGGGAAACACAGGCCTGGAGATTGGGAACCAATTCTCAGCTTCGGAGTCCTTCTCCAACCTGGGCTGTCCTCAGATCCCCCACTCAAAGTTTAACTTTTAGTGGGGTAAATGGAAATCCCCACTAAACACTACCAGGCTAAAAAGCTAAGGGGATGGCTGGGAACCACCAAGCAACAGCAACCTGGGCAGTTGCAAAAAGGAATCCCCTCGTAGACAAGGAAGGCTCTCCATTCAACAGCCGGACTTTGGATTCCCCGAAGCGCCAGGGCCTCTTTGAGTTGAAACCAAGAAGTTGGACTCCGAGACAGGCGCACGGACTCCGAAGAAAGGGCGCATGCGTCTCAACACAAACATAGAGGACACGCCCTTAGGGAACAAAGGGGGCAGAAAAGGGAACGACAACATTGGGACCCCATAGCATTCAGCCGTTGGGAGGGGTCTACCGCCCGCTTGTGACCATGGCACACGTCTAAGGAGCCTATAAGTGCTTCACCACGAAACACGGCAAGCCCTTGGTGAAACCAGACGCTGCAGGCTTGAACACAAGACTTCCGTATGCCGGCGATGCAACCAACCAACAACTATTTTGGGTGACCCCAAATGAAGGGTTCCAACAAATGGGTTCTAGGATGCTACACACACATGTGCTTCCTTTCTGCGCAAGCTGGAAACCGTTTATTAGAACCAATCTACGGGCACCTGACTTAAGGGCGTGCCTGTTTGGAGACTCAGGGCTTCGAATCCGAACCCACGGCTTTCCTGAGCACCTGTCTCCGTATCCCGTCTCCTTGTGCAGTTTCGGGGCTCCAAAATGCACTGAGCCAGTCTCCAGTCTCCAAGGACACCGGCCGGGTCTGCGCATGTCTTCGCTCTAAATGTCGAAGAATTAAAGTCAAGACCGTTGAACGCTTGAGTGTGACTTGATTTCGAGGGTGTCCTTCGCCAGGATATAAGTTGAAGATAATCAAGCTGGGAAACCAGTTTGAGGATCCGAAGAATTAAAGAAGCACCGTGAACTGGCAACAGCGGGCCACCCTCCCCCCAAAAAATGATTCCCTTTTTCCCGCATTGAATATGTACCGGAGCGCCCCTGCCTCCCCGTTCAACCTTTTTCTTAGGGGATGGTATGCACAACCCTTGAAGGGTTGCCCTGGTCTGGGAGAAGAATCATTAAACATGCGCAAACAGTTTGCTATTTTCATCCACACGAGCTCCCTAGCTGCCTGGCAGCTTGGTTCACATCAGGATGCAGGATTGTTTTCCACTTCTGTCCTACAAGGGAAGCTTCTCTCCTAACTACCACAGCTTCCCCCCCGACCAAACAAGTATCCTTGATTCTGGTCCGTAGTGAGCCTGAACTTGTCAATCGATTTCTCCAACTTCCTTAGTCGAGTCAAACAAATTCTCGGGGGCCCCCAGCCACGGGGGCTTCCGCATCGGCTGTGGTCTTCTCGCGGAAGAGCCCGTAAGAGCCGCAGGAGCCGCACCTGAGAGGCTTGGTCCCCTTGAGTCAGCTGGCTTAACCCACACTTTCAAGGTGTTGCCCTTGACTCACTGGCTGAGTGGATGGCCCAAAAAAAGCCCGAACTTTTTGTTTACCACTAAACTGGTCCAAACCCAAAAAGTTTAAAGTTCATGAACTCAGGAAGTGAGTTGAGAACATCTCGATTGTGAGATCGTCATAGTGTCATGGGGAGTCCCATGAGTCCCTGCAAACAGCATCGCAAAGGGGGCAAGCATTTTTTCCAAAACCTTTTGCACGCCAAAACAAGTTCGGAATCCGAGTTCCTGGGCCCCCGTTTGACACGTACCCATACTAGGGAACCCTGAACTTTTAGGTTCTTCGTGATGGCTTACCCTGGTCAAGCCCCGGGAAATCGAACTGGTTTGGAGAGCCGCACTACGACCTTGGGGATGGGTCAGAAACTTGGTGGCAGAGGTCTGGGCAAGATGTTATTTACCAAATCGCTACAGCTATCTAAAATTGGGGAAGTGAGTCATGGGTCCTCAAAATGCATTTGTGTCCTTTCAATTTCCTGTTGACTGCCCAGGAACTCGGATTCCGAAATTGATTTGGCGTGCGAAAGGTTTTGGAAAAATGCTTGCCCCGTTTACAGGGACTCATGGGACTCCCCATGAAACTATGACTACGATCTCACAAAAATATTATCAAGGGTAACACGGAAACTGACTGCCTAATAGCCCCGCCTTTCCTGCCAAATTTGTGTGTAATTCCAAGTCCAACTTTTTCCTTGTCAGTTTCGCATTCCACACAAAGTTGAGAGAAACCGTGTCTTTTGGCGCTGGCAATCAGACCGGCCTTTCGAAAACTTGGTTGTTGGCCCAGGCAATGTCAAGGTTTTAGGAAACATCACCGTTCTCTGCGATACCAAAGTGGCCCGCCCCTGCCTTGTTGGAATCACCAAGCCTAAACTCTCCATTTCAAAACAATCATGGGCCAACATGAGTTACCCTCTGTCCAACGGAAGACGACGGCCCCATTCATAGGGAAACCTTAAAATTGGGAAAACAAATCAGTGGGGATACCGGGAAAGCGGGGATGTGCGAGGATTCCCTATTCAGGAAACCATGTCTAAACAGTAGTCGAAACCTATGTCCAAATCCCAGCTTTTTCGGTATCCCTGTTTGTTTGTGTGTTTCTTTGTCTGTCCGTCTGTTTGTTTGTTTGTCTGATTCAAATCTCTTATTTAGGGGTTCATCAAAAGGTCCTTCTTCATGGGGTGACCATTGGGGAAACCACCAAGCAAAATGATTTTCACCACTACATGGGTATCTTACCCAAGGGCAACCCCCATTTCTTCGCCCCGGCGAAGAAGCCTGGCATGAAGTCTGCCAGGGTGAGCCCATCCTTCGGCAGGCTGGCCGCTGCTTTAGTCTGCAGGCGCCAGGCTGCACCGGCCCTGGCGAACCAAAGTCCGTGCCAAAAATCGGGTCTCTCTAAAATTTCTAGGTACCTTCCCCATTCTTTCCAGTGATCCTTCTTTCCAGAAAACCCGCAGAAACCCAGGGAAAACGGCCGGTTTTTGAAAGAACAATGGTTGAAAATAATGGGGAATTAACCCCTAGAACAATTAGCGGTCAGCTACACTGGCTGGTGTCCTTTTGGTAAGCCTTTACGCCCCAACCAAAAGTGGGTTTCATTCCGTGAACAGCTGCGATATTTGGATGATGGGAACACCCGCTCCTTTTTTTCCCCGTGCCACTTTTTCTGACTCTCTACCTCTTGGCTTTGGGCTGAAACATCAGGTGGGGTCGAAACAACGAACGGGTGTAAACCCCTCAGAGCATCCTTTTCCCGCAACGGATCTTGGGTAACTGTCATTCCAAGGGTCCAAGTCTATTCATTCCAACACAAAGTAAACAGGTGACTTGAATGTGTGGTGCGCTCATAGGGGGACCTCCCCAACCCCCAAAACTCTCCAGTGCGCGGGAAAAGCCCTGAAACACCTGCGAATTCGATTCCCGGGTCGCACGAAAGTCCTTGATATCACTCCGGAACTCCCCAAATCAACAGAAGGAAGCCTAGCAAAGCCTTCCGACACAGAAGATTCGGTTCTTCTGGGTTCCGTGTAAAGGCGGGGAGGCTGCCCGGCTCATTCCTCAAGCGATGCTCTTTTAGCCTCCTTCTTCATTTCTTCATGATGTTTGGAGACGGCGCTTTTCATGCATCACGTGCAGCCCGAATTGGTATTCCGATTCACAGAAAGAACCCCAAAACTGGGTCAATTCCTCAAAGGAGATTCCGACCTAACATGGTGGCTGTGTGGGTTCCATTGTCACCAAGCCCTGCGGGGCAAATCGCAAAAGAAAAGCCCCCAAAAACCTTTTTGCATATAACCCCAATACCCGGGAAAAGCGCAAACAAGCGGGCATTCGCCCAGAAATCAAACACAAACAAGCCATAGTTGGAAGCTGAGGTCAAGAACCCTCTTTTCGGCTGGCATGTAGTCTCGAGTTTGGAAACAGCATGTGCATCCATTTGCCTGTGCAAAAAGGGAAAAATGCAATGCCGAAACCGATCTTGCAGGTTTCTTTGGGAGACCCTAGGGCAAGGGCGATGGAAAGACACGACCATCGACGGCCGGGGGGGATGGTCTAGAACTGTCGGCTGCCAGTGGGCGAAAAGGGAAATGGCTCGCATGCGAAACGGATCTGAAAAAAGGGGTAAGGAATGCCATCATGAAAAGCATGCATATGGGTGCGGTTCAAACTTAGTGAAGCAGGGATCAGTTTGTCCTATAGCTAACCCGGGACATGAATGGATCCGAAAAGATTTATGCAGGGAGGGGTACCTACAGGCAGTCCGGAGCGATGATGGGTCTCTCTGCTTTTGGCCCCTTTCCATCCTTCGCACGAGGCCGCCCTGCAACATTGGCCTGCGAATCGATGCGAGTCAATTGACATACCGTTCGGATCAGTCATAGCATGCGAAGGTCCAAATATGTCGCCCAGAAGGACAGAAGGAGTAGCTGACAATATGACCACCCAAAAACCCCGATAGGGGACTCAAACTTGCAAGAAGCTCATCCAAAACCACTACCATGTTCCCTCTATCACGTGGAGTATGACCATGGTTCCCGCTACGTTTGTCTCACCTCCCAAAGGAGCCCAGGACCACCCAACCCCAAGGAGACCAGCATGACACAGCGGCCCTTTCCCTTCAACCAGAAACACCAGCGAAGGGAAGCTGCAACCCACAAGAACAACCTTGAGATACTAGGAGTCTGTTCAAAATCCGCCTTGGATGGCTCTTGAAGGAAAGCCGACAAGAAATCAGCCATTTCAAAAAAGCAACTAGTTTGGGAACACCCAGATTTGCCAGACATGGCTTTTCCCTTCAATATTAACTCAGGGATCCTTACATTGTACACCTGAACGTTGCCTTGTAAATGGTGGTGTCCCTGTATTTTGGTGAAAAAAGCGATGTTTCAAATGGGCAAAATGCGTCTTTTAAGGAGCCCTGTTCAATGCGTGCGTGTATGCGTGCGTGCAAGCAGGCGGGCGGGCGCGGGCGGGTGTCTGTGCGCACCTTCCCAGAAGCCAACCCAATTTTATGACTTAATGTTAGTGGAACACTTATGACCCAAAAGCTCAACTTTTTGGGGAGTTAGTGGAAAACCCAACTTGAGTTCAACCAAAAAGTCAAAGTCTGAAGATCCAACCCCAATAGCGGTCCAGTTTTGGGTTGGATCTTCACGCCCCCGTCTCTGAGCAAAGTTCCGGCCATCGCCTCCGACAAAAGCTGCGCGGCGCGCAGCTTTGAGCGAGCTGATGAGCTCAGCTATGAGCCAAAGCGCGGGAGGCTGGTTGCTTGATGCGTCTTGGTTTGTCACGTTCAAAATGGGTTCATTCATTATCTTTCCCTATATTTTCCCGAAAAAGAAACAAAAAACGATCAACAAAGAAACAAATATCATCCCAAAAGGAAACCCAGGCCCTCCCCTCTTAGTGCTAGTGTCATGTCGTGTTAAAACTATCCTACAGTGATCCCGATCAACCCCACTCCCCTTTCAGAAAGATGCCCTGGAAGAAAGGAGCTGGGGGAGGTCATCCGTGGTCCCCAAAAGGACCCTGACTCGGAAATCGCATTCGGTTTAGATTTTCAAAAAGGAAGAGGACAGCAGGACATTCCAATGGGCATTCAGTACCAAGCCCCGTATACAAACTTGGTCGCTCGGCACAAGGGCACACCTAATAGCAAACAAAAGAAAACCAAGCGATTGTTTCTTGTAAGATGCAGGACGTCTTCATTACTACCCCCTTACTGCAGGAAAAGACATGCTGTACCACTTTCGAATTCTGGCTCAGAAGCCAGTGGTCAAGTAGGCGCAGCTCGCCCTTTTTGCAAAAAAGGAATGCAACGCCGACCGCGCTCCGCGAGCTTTACGGGAAGCTTTACACATATAAGCCCGAGCCGTTTAAATTTGTCGGCTCGCAAATTAGGAGAGCCCCACCACCCGTGGTGGAGTGTGATTAAAATCCAAGTCGATCTTGTAATAGGCAGGCTTGATCGGCAGGCCCGGCATGAAGGTAATGTCCTTAATGCTTGCACCAGTCTCGAAAATGCCATTTGCCCCATTGAGGCGAGGAAAAAAAAAACAAAAACAGCCTACGGGTTTCAGGCCGCGGTCGCATCCCAAGTATACGGAGTGGCCCATCCGCCCTACGGACCGTGCGCTTTACGAATCTGGGCATGGCCAACATGAGGCTGCAGGAAAGGCACGCCCAAAGAGACGACGATGAATCCAGCTCCAGCACTCACGTACCTGCGTCGGACAAGAACCATGGTTGTTTCCCTGGATTGTGTGGTGGGTTGCCCCCTTCTCGCCGTCTCCAAACTAATATTAGACGCCTACAGTGTCTGTGGCTTTTTTCACACCGCTGCTCTAGGTTCCAAACACAAGCTGAACCGGCTTCAACCCAGTCTGACCAAGTACTCGCCCATGAACTTTCCAAGTGAGGTGTCTCTCTCTTTACCCTGGACCCTTTACTGGACCCTTTTCAAAGCTTCGCCTTCTGACCTCGAAGCCAACCCTCCCCCGCCATTGGATGTGAGTCTGAGGGACTGGGAAGGACCCGCAGGGCCACAAGTCTTGAACTTTCTGTGGGTCCACTCCGGAAAGGAAAAATAAAATCCCACTGCCAAACAAACAAAGAAACAGGCTAATACACAGCCAAAAGCAACAAAAAGATCCGTTGCCAAGGAGCCATCAATAGCAAAAGTTGGGCCATTGAGCCTGCGCCGAGCGGCATGTCTTGCACGGTGATGGTGAAGCCCTTCGGAGCCCCTGCGCAACCGTGTAACGCACGGTAAATGGGATGGGACAACAACAAGTCTGAACAGCTCGTGCTTGCTCAAAAGGCAGAAGCGACTATCTCACTTAAGTGGACTGGCAAAAAAGGTGCCGAACTGTTCGCTTGCCGCTAAAATGGTCCAAACCCAAAAAGCTTAAAGTCCAGGAACTCAGGAAGTAAAGAGTCAAAAGGGCCGCACCTTTGGCTAGTTGGCCTTTTGGTGTTTCTCCGAGTCTCAGGCGGGCAAGGGACACGGGAAAGTGGCGGGGGGGGTTGGAACGCCACACGCAGCTGAGAAGTGGCATGGCAGTCGATGCGATGGTGCACTAAACCGTCAAAGCTGGGATGCCACGCCTAACTTCTTGGGATCGTCCTGAGCTGGCAGCAAGAAACAAACGCGTTGCGCGTGCACTGCGAAATGCAAATCCTGGCAAGCGATGTCAAGAAAAATGCCCAGCTTCCGCTTCTGCCTTCTTACAGATTGGCCACCCTTCTGCCTACATGTTAAAGCCAACGTTGACCTAAATAGTCCATCTAAGTTTCCCCTCGAATTGAGCCATAGCATTCTTTGAGCAAACAAATTTCCCCCTTCCCGCTCTAAGCAGGGACATGCCTTCGACCCACTGCCAAGCTTCGGAGAGCGAGTACTGGGTCTTGGACATGCAAATCGGTAAGCAGCTGATGGCGGGATCAGCTTCATACCGTGCCAGCGCGGCTTCCGCCTTCTCCTCGGAAGAAGCACCAGCTGAGTATTGACTTGAAAAGCGTGTGCGTGTGTCAACATAGGAAGACCCAACGAATGTGTTTCCCGACAAACCAACCTGGAAATGGTACCCTCAAAACACACTGCCAAAAGGAGTTGGAGCTCCGGTAAAGCACCCAGCTGCGACAATGGCAAGATTGACGAATCTTGCCCCCTCGTCTCGCCGAACTGCATCTCACGTCACCTACCCTCTCCACGTTGCCATGGAACCTGGCTGTTGTCCCCAAATTTTGACCCTTAGGCGGGTTCCATGCCGTTAAACCAAAGGGAACCATGCGGACATGTGTCTGCATTCTGCCCGGCTGTCCAGAAACCCCCGTCCAAAGGCCCCGGCCGAGTACTTGACATCCGCTCCCCCATAGACCTCCTGCACGACCTTCAGGATTTTCGTCTTGATGGCGTCCTTCCTCAGATCGCCATGGCCAACTCCGGCTTGAAGCGATCCGAAACAAGATTAAATTATGTGGCTACTGAAACGCTCTTTCCCACAAGTATCAAGTTCAGAATCTCGGAAGCTGAAACCAAAGGCCCACAAAGGAAGCTCACTTCGAACAGGTGATTCTTAAAACAACAAGCCTGTGTCTGTGGGGGCATTCAGGTTCATTCTTGGGACATCCTTGACCTGGGCTGGGGCTCTTGGCATCGACGAAAATCAACCACTAGTAACCTCACCGCTCACATTGCAAGCACTTCCGGCCAACGGGCCACACTCATAGGTCCCTTTTGGAAAAGTAACTGGGTGTTCCTGGTGAATGGAGTTCAACCATCTTTCCCAACCAACAAGGACACCTATGGCAGTATGTGTGCGGGACAAAAATACGTACCCAAAGTGGCTTGCCCTGATCAATGGACACATGGATCAAAATTAGAAAAAATGCGGCCTCCGTTGTTCCGTTGTTTGCGGTCTTGTGAAAACAACTGCCCCATACCCACTGACCCATAACTCCGCGGTCGGGGCGCTTGGCATCGTAGAGGAACTTGAAGTTCGAGGGCGCCTCGCAGGCCTTCATCACCGCGCGGCCCAGATCCACGGCGCCCGCGCCCCCCTTGGCGTGGTGCTCCTGCCGGGTTTCGCGCGCCCCCGCGTGTGGAACTCCACCGCTGGCATTCGTGTGGAGACTGAGCCGGTCCATTTTGGCTCTACATTCATGCAGCCAAAAACAAAATTCACCTCACCCCTCAGACCCCTGACCCCCCCCACCCCCCCCCCGCCCACCCAAATGTCGAATCGACCGCTCCGCCACGACGGCGGCAAAGGCGCCGTTCTCTTCCGCGATCTGAGCGCGAAAACTGCGCGAGGGGGAACTTGGAGGTTCCTTTTGCTCACGCTAACTTAGTCTGTTGGTTATAACCATGAACTAACCACGGGTACAGTTCTAATCATGGTTATAACTTTGAATTTAATTACTACACTTACTAAGTAGAAGTTGCTGAACGTGGCTGCAACAGTCTCATTAGCACAAGTTGGTGCTTTGGGTTCTAAAGGGGGACCTGCAGGAACTCGCACCTCATCGGCGTCAGTCACACAAGAGTCGGATTCGGAGTCGATCCCCTGTGCTTCGAGAACGGCTGATGCCTCGGAGCTTGACTATGGAAATATGCGTGAACTAACCCCACCTACCATGGTGAGCGCAGCCACCCTGACTTAACATCCAAGTAGGTTGGATGACTCTGTCGGGAAATCAACGGGAAAACCGAACACCAAAGCCCATGAAATGGGGGGGGAGGGGTCCAATTCCTAACATTCGGACACGCCCGGAATATTCGAGATCAATGCATGGTTGACGTTGGAAGGAGAGCAAACATTTTGTTTTAGCAATTAAGTGGGGATCTCCCACTAAACTGCAATAAGCAAAAATGTACAATGTTTCCCGACGACAACCATAAATGTTCAACCCTAAATTCCTAGGGCAGTTCCAAATCATTTCTACTTGGCTGAATCCCTGGGGCTTCAACCTCGTCGTTTCTACCATCATTTGGCTGTGGGTGAAACATAGGGAAACCTTCCAATGAGCTTGCCCTGGTCAATGGAAGGACTCAAACTGGCGGTGGGTGGTTCCAATTTCGAGCCATAGCAAAATTTTCTTCAAGAGCCATCATTGCAATCAAACCTTGGTTGCTGGAAGGACCCCTCTGCAAAAAGCTTGACTTCTTGTGAGTCCAATCCGGAAAATCACTTCCCGAAAACAGAAAAAGTTCAAAGATCCAGTGCCAGTGAGCTGATAACATTGCCATCTTCAAAGTTAAAGTTGACCCACTGAGCCTCAGCTAAAGACATCCCAAGCAATCAGCCAAATCGCCGTAAAGAAACGATCACACGGTGAGACTGGGGTCGTTATTTTGACGGTTTCTGGGGGTTATCAAAGTCAGTAAATGGGGTTGTTTCCCTTTCACCCACCACTTAGGGGATGACTTGGACCATGGGAAAATGATGAGACTAAAATGGCTGGTGCGCCTACCCCAAAATGGTACCATTGGTTTGGACCCACAGCCAAATCGCCATAAAGAACCGATCGCCCGGTGAGCTAAACATCCCAACCGATCCGAGCCGAGCCAAGGCGCCTTCTTCACCAGCGCCAGCTCCGCCTCTGAGTCGGTGCTGAAGCGATTGATAGCCACCACGGCCTGCGTCAGGCTGAGCTCATAACATTTGGAGACCTGACATGTGGAGACCTGCCCAAAGAACTGAGCTGTCCTCAGATCCCCCGCTAAAAGTGACTAACTTTTAGTGGGTTAAATGGAAATCCCCACTAAACACTAAAGGCTAAGCGGATGGCTGGGAGCCACCAAGAGCAATGGGCATTTGAGTGTTAACAGGGGATCCTAAATGGAATCAACATTTTCGGTGGGTCCCGATTCCATGTCCATCAGCCGGACCCTGTGGACATCAAGGCTTTTGGACCTGTTGCGGTGTGCAAGATGTCGCCCCTTTGGAAGGGCGTGGTCAAACTCATCCCGGGCCCGACATGTTGAATCTTTGTTGGGCACTTGGTAGGGAAACAGTCAAAAGGTGGCAAGGTTGGACTACCTCAGCTTTTGCAAAAAACAACTAACAATGCTGGATTCTAGCCCCGGATTTGATGAACCTCAACTACAGAATGTAACAGAAATTCACACGAGATCCCGAGGCCGGCGGGAACTCGACATAAGAATGTGGCCGTTTTAAAGTCAGTGGGCGGTGCAAAAGAAGGCCCGGAGATCGGGAAGTGCCAGGCGTGCGCTTCCTTTCCAAGGATATTGTGTTTTCACCCCTGGTCGCAAAAGTCGTTTGCAGGGGAGTACCTCTTAAGCGACTCGTCGCTTACTGCCCGAGCGGAGCTTTTTCGCGCGCACCCAGCACTGGTGGTGAAGCTCTATGAGGTCATATGCGGTATTGGACAAGGGCGGCTCAAAACGTATCGCACAAAGTGCGTATGTATATAATAATTATTCATGTATATTTGAACATGCACAAGACATATCTATATATATATATACAGTTATACACACATGTGTGTAGATACATATAGACAACTATATCTATAGAGTAAAATGATGGGGTTATGTTTTTGCAGTGGTAAGGGGCAAAGGGCCCACGGCGTGAGCGTACATTCCCAAGAGGAAGCACAAAACAACGGAAAGGGAATCCCAAAAGACAAGGAATTCCACAATTCGCATGCTGTGCCTGGTTGTACGCAGGGCAGACGCCTGAGGCAACCACAAGTTTTAGGAGGGGCTTGTTTGGTGACACACCCACCTGAACCCCGTGCTTTCGCACGTTCTGGATGTGGGCGATCAAGTTTGCGCAGCCTTTCTCCACCAGATCGAGATTCTCCTGGCACATGCAGCTTCCCAGAAACAAGAAGCCAACTCTAGGCAAGCTGGCCAATGTGCAATCCCTCCTGCAAGTGCAATGCAAAAAGCTGCGAAGCCTTTGGATCACCCTGCTGGGTTCCATGCGGATTGCAAGGGAGTATGCCCACTTGGTTCTTGGCCAACTGTTTCCCACCGCAATTTGGCCCAACAAGGTCCTGAAGATTCTGATTTACATGGAAATGCGGAAAGTCACCCTTCACATGGAATTCGCCTCCTAGCCGCCTCCACTTCAGATGGAGATGCACGTCTCCAGTCCAGTGGTTGCCTCTTGACATTCACTTGATTTTATGTACATGTTTGTTTTTTTTGGTGTGGGGGGGATAGGGATAAGAATGGACCCTGCCAGTGTGGAAATCCAGGCTTCAAGGTGGCACCTCCACTTCTCCCTCAACAGAAACAACATGGGGGGCGGTCCGAGAGGAACACCCTGCCACACTCTTGCGCCGTCCTCTCTGTACTCTTTGGCGGGTGCTTGTCCGGCAACAATCTTTGGCGCCTGCGGCTGAGCAGTCCGCATCTGATGCCCTCCCTCCCACGTCGCTGGAAGGGGTCTCTTGAAGAGAAAATTGAGCGTCCAGGTACCCTCTCAGATGTATGAGGAAGAAAGGATGCTCACGAATCTGGGCAGATTTAACTTCACCAACCTGCAACAAAGGCTCCCTGTGGAAGGACATTCTGTCATAGCTGCGGTCGCTGTAGTTTGCCTAGATTCGATCGGAACGAGATCAGTAAACTCTGCAGAGCTCGCTATCCTTCCAAGTCCATAAAGCAATGAAGGCTTTATTCTTGGCGGGTCCAAGAACAAAACCCCAAGAACAAAAACCCACTCGAGGCCGTAAGAATGTATCAATCCGTGGGGTGTTTTTTTTGGATAATCGGCGGATAATTGTGTCTCATAATTTTCGGATGGCTCCCCAGAGGGCATTGCTAACTTTGGCTCTGGCCCTGGTTTCTGGTCGCTCATCTCCTCAAGCCAGTACCATTTGATTGCTCTGTACATTTGTTTCCCTCTACCCCGCATATGGTTCGGTACTCCCACTAGTTGGAAAAAGGGGCACATACCTGTTTTATTGTATGTGTCAAATTCAGAAGAAAAAACAACACCCATAAAGGGGTGTGCGTGTCTTCCATTTTGGCGCCCCTTGAAACGCCAAACCCAACACGGCGATTCCCAAAGCGAACACACACCCCGCTCCGCTTCACGCTCTCTGCTTCCCGCGTCCCGCGTCCCGCGCTGGGCGGGCCTCGCAGCTGTGGAGCTTTAGCGCGCGCACGGAGCAAACGATCACCGCGCAGTCGGGCTTCAGGCCACCTCAAAGCCAAAAAGCACACGGCCGGCTCGCCCGTGAAGTCGTGAAGGGGTGGGATTTTTGGGGTTGGCTTCTTAGTGTTTGTAGTTTCCATTTAACCCACTCAAAGTTATGCACGTTTAGCGGGGGATCTGTGGGCAGCCCACCTGATTTTTCTCCTTCGCAGTGACTCTTCAGAGGGCTCTTGGATCGAAGGCAACCTTCGCCGATCCATTTCTGGGCAGTGCCAAAGCTGGCTGGTTCTCCTTTTGGCTTCACCATGCAAAAAGTCCCATGAATTTGAGGCAAAGGTGTCTCCTCTACTGATTCAAAAGGGAGGTACAGCTGAAAGATTCGAGTATGTCTCGGAACGGTTGATTTCACTTTGGCCCCTTTTAATATCCCCCCCCCCAAAAAAAGCTGCAGAACCACAAGAAAAAAAAGAGCCAAAATGCACAAAGCGCGCGCATTCCATACGAAAAGAAGCGAACCCCCCCCCCATTTTCCACCCCCCTTGACACGACCAGCTTAAAAAAATGAAAAAAAAAACACGCATTGCAGAGCTACTAAAAGGCGAAAAGGCTAAGGAACCGGATGGCTGGGAGCCACCGGGATCAGGTTGGCATAATGCGTGGGTCGAGGTTCTACGCCAACATAAGGCAACTATTGCTCTACGTAAGGCGACTAGAGCTGTATATGGACCCGTGGTATGTGGCACATAACCTCCACAGTTCAGAACAACCCATGTCGTTGACTTCCGTTGACTCGCGACAGAGAGCAATGGGTTGTATAACAGGCTCAAGTATGTACTTTGCCCGTGACAAAGGAAGCTAAAGGAAACCCATGGACATTTTGTGGACTAACCTGGTGCTTAGATCATCTTTCAAAGGCGCGGAAGAAGCCTGCAGTCGCCGTGGGCTGGTTTGGGGTCCGTTTCACGTTGGCTTCGGCTGTGGTTGTGTTTAAGTGGGCTTAGTGTGGTTTAAAGTAGGATGTTGACAACGAAGGGGCCTGAACCCATGCTGAGGATGTTTAAAACGACGCTGAGGATGCTAAAACGATGCCGGGCCTGAACCTACCCGAAACGGACCCTAAACCTACCCGAAACCCATCCGAAATCTTTGTCCCACCGAGCCGCCCGACCGACCGACCAACCACCCAACCACCCAACCATCCAACCATCCCAGCCCAGGACTGCCAGGGTTGCCCTGTGCCAGGGCTAGGCAACAAAGCGCCTTGCCAGCAGAAGGAATCCAAACACAAAGAAGCATTCCCTTCAAGAATCCATCCAGAGGAAGAGCGAGCCTGGCGTCGTAACCTCTGCAACTTAAAGCTTCCCGCGCAAACGATTGTAGGCCCATTCACCTCACCTCACCTCTGCGGCAAAAGGGCTGTAGTAGCACTTGATGTTGAAAAACTTCTCTCCGCCCATGTCCTTGGCTCTTGGAGCTTGAGTTCTCGCCCACCGGAAGGCAAGTCATAAGTGCGAAAGGGTTTGAAACAGTATTTCGGGAGAGAATAAACAGGCCCAATCCCACCAACAAGAAGAGATTGTTTAAGTCCCCCAGCCCCAAGGGCAAAGCGGTGCCCCCGGCTGGCACAACAAACGAACCAAAACAGGGTGCCTTTAACCAAATGATGAATAAACCAAGCAAGGGCAGAGACAACCGAAAGCAAGCACAAAGCAGCAAACCAAGCAGGCAAACAATGCAGCGAAGCAAGCAAAGCAAACCAAATGCGCACCAACCCCAACCAGAACCCCCGACCAACCTCCACCGGAAACACCACCACAGGCGCTCGGCAGCGGCACTCTTTGCCGGAGACGAGCACGATGTGCCGCGGTGCGCGGTGACGAAATTGCAAGGGCAAGTTGCCGGATTGAAAAGCTTGAGCCAAACGGCGCATTGGCCGTGGCATGGAAACATGCTATGATAAAACTACATGCCCCCAAAAACACCCCCCTCGACTGTACAAAGAGATGGAGTGAATTTGGAAAGGCGCATTGGCCATGTTGAAGTTGAAATGCTATAGACAAGAAAAAACAAAGCCGATTAGGCTACCAGGGTTCGCGACCCCATACCCGGGCACTCATTGGTGCCCGGATCCCGCCACCACCCCGAATTACGGGTATGGGGCGGATTCGCGCCGGTAGCCAAATCAAACAAGAGAAAGCAAAAAGAAACAGAAACAAAGATTCAACTCCAGAATGGCAGGCATGAAATAAAATTACATTTGCAATGCAACCACAACGAACCGCAAGGTTCAAGTGGATTTAGTTCCTGAATTCATGATTTAGGCGCATTGGCCTGCTGGTTGAAACATGGTGCTTTGACCACAAGACCTTGGTCTTTAAAGTAGCACCGTCTAGGCGCGCGATCACACAAAGACCTTCAGTAGGAACACCACCAGCTGCAATCAGCGGTCCAGATCCGAGTAGGACTCACCGGCAGCGGTGCAGCGCATCCGTGATCCTCACCGCAGCACCTTGATGAGTTCCATCTCCAGCAGCAGCAGCGGTGCTGGACGATGCTGACAACCAGCGGCCGTAGACACCGGCGAGGGTAACTGCCTTGCTGCGGCGACGCACACCTGACAGGTAATCGCCGCCAGCGCGAATAGCGCACAGCTGCGCATGCAGTTGAATTCTGGAATGGCGAATAGCCCAAACATAGAAATACTACAGGGAGCATTGTCCATTATGTGAATTCCGGAATGAAAGCACGCGCGCGTTGGCGCCGCTACGCAAAAGATGCAGACGGACACCAGGTATTACCGATGTCGTCCGCCGCCGTGCCGTCCCCTCCCCTTGTTGACGTTCCAGTCCCCAGGAGGAGGAGGCACGGTCTCGGCCAACTCATCATCCGCACCCCAGGTAGGGGTATGCGGCGAGTTCGGATTCTCGAACTCGCGTGGATCACCCTGCATGTGCGGCTGCCAACCCTGCTGCATTGTGCCAGGCCACATTTGCGGCATCATGCCAGCCATTGGCTGTTGCATGTACCCTCCCATTGGGAAAGCGGGGTACATCGGACTTGGGAACGGGAAAGGGGCTGCCTGAGCACCCTTGTATCCCGACCCGCGAGCATCAGGCTGATACCCGCCAGTGGGAGTTCTCGATCTGGCGGATCCGCCACGACCGAACTGCCCTTGTTGGTAGCCGTATTGGCCACCCTTGCCTTTGTACTGATCACCTTTGTGACCCTTTCCTGGGAACGGGCGCACACTCGTGCCATCTGTCCTCCAGACTTTCCGTATTAGGAGCTCGACTGGAGGGTACGATGGGCTTTCCTTTGCGAGAGCACCCGCCCAGGTCGCTACCTCGACACTCGTGCACTTGTGGATCCCGTATAGGGCCTCAAGTAGCGTTGAGATCAGAGTCATTGACATCCAACCTCCCAGAATGTCTGGAACCGTCCCAAACAAGAAGGGAGGCTGCTCACCGGGCTTCACGTTTAACCGCGTAGGGTCAGTGTTGCCCGACAAAACTTCTAGCAGCATTTGCGATTCCCTGGAGCTTCGTCCAACAAACGCCGACACATCCCTAATTTCGGGGAAAAAATGGAAGATGTCATTTCCGGCAGGACAGGCGATTCTGCCTGCTATCCCGCCCTGTGCATCAATCACAACCTCTTCACCCTCGTATGTGAGGTTGTAGGTGCTCGTAATCGGGCACACACCGGGCTTAGCCATCAGTGCCTCTTCCAACGACGCACCTGTTGGGAGGACGCCCTGTACGTGCGACTTGGTACCTATAGGACCAGTACTCGCAGACATAAGCCGATAATTTTCGGCACGAAAGAATGGAAAAAGGTTCTTCATCCTTTCAATTTCTTCTTCAGTGGTGCGCCACGCCTTTGCCTCATAGTAAGGCGGCTCCTGCTTTGAGGGCACTAGGTCGCGGTCACCCATTGATGAGAATTTGTCCACATATGGACCCATTCCATCATCGTCTACATAACTCTCGTGATCTTCATCCGAGACGTACTCCTTGGGCGGCTCGCCCAGAGCGTCCAGATCGACCTTACCAAGGTCGACCAACGCCGGAGAATCCAGGACTCTCTGGATCCTCATGAGCTCGTTCCTAAACTGCTCAAAGCCTCCGGCCTTGTCAATCACGGAGGTCGGCATGGCGCCCTCCCATGATTCTGGAAACATGCACACGTTCGTAGGGGAATACTCGTCATCGGAAATATCCCGATCACGCTCCCGTACGTCGCTGATTAGTGTCACATCCAACGAGCCGCTTAGGGCCTCGGGACGCGACGCTTTCGCCGGATGCGGCTTTGCGCTCTTTGACGCTACAGCAGCCTCATTGGCCGCTTTGTCCTTCTTCTCGTCACCCTTATTCCCCTCCTTGTCCACATCCATTTCGGACGGCTGTGCGCTCCCCCTTGCTCCGCCCATTGGCGGTTCAGAGGGTTGAACAGGGGATTCCTTGGTACGGGCTTTGCCGTAATAATGCCCTGGGATCTGCACGTTCCCAGTGGAGCCACCGCCAGCTTCTCGCGGACGCTTGGCGGTGTGTGCCGACCCAGTATGGACAGCAGGCGCCGATCGCCTAGGAAGGCCCTTACTGGCCGACAGAGATGGAGGAGGTGGCTTCATTTTGGGAGCCGGCTCCGCCTTGGGCTCCGACTCCGGTTCAATTACGCAGGACTTGAGGTCGAAACTTTCAGACCTCAAAAGGCCCGCGCAATAGGAACGGAAAACGTCCTCAACTTCCCGAGCAAGGAACTCGGGATGGTCATCCTCCCTCGGAGGTGTTCTCCAGCCGTCGTATCCATTGAGCAGATTCCTGCCCACGATTTCATTGAATCGATACGTGCCCAAACCGGCATAGCGGTTGGCAGCCCGAAGAACATTACAAAATCTTTCGACCTTTTCGGTCGCCGCAATGGCCGCAGCCATCTGAGGGTGAATATACCCAGTTTCAATCATGCATCCTGCGGCTTCGCGCAAGCATGATCTTGCACGCCACAGATTCGCGGCGGCCTTGTAAAAGTCGCAGTATTCAACGTTCCACGTTGCGTCCTGCGCGCTGAGCTCATCATCTCCGCTTTGGGAGTCAGGCATAGTGAGCCCCAAACGGATCTCCCGACCGCGGAATACGTCGGCGGAGATCTGGTTCGAGTTCGGCTGATCCTCCAGCGGAGGACGGGGAACATATTGTTTCCCTGAGCCGACACTAGACTCATTTGCCGATTCCCTGTTTGGATGCCTCCCCTCGGTCTGCATCTGATTAAACCGTGCGACCAGGTCCGACCGAGGGCCAATCGACAATGGCCCAAGGTTCTCCTCAGCCCAATCAGCAAGCGCTTTGGCTCCCGCGTGATGAATTTCATCGGCATTCATCGTGTCAGACATAATGGCCTTTGACAGGAAATCCCAGTCGTACTCGCCGAAGCGACGATCAGTTGCTGAAGCATTGTCCAGCAGCTGGAAAAACTCATCCTCTGACAGGCCTTGCCACAGAGGTAGAGCGAGGGCATCCTCAATGGAATTAGCCTGAATAGGGTAAAGAAGGCGCCTTGGCCAGGCCCCGTTCCTCCACGCCGCCAACGCTGGCGGGTAACCTGCTCTCCGGAACAGGTAGTGCACTGCGATGCAGGCATCCGCGCTTTCAGCGGGCGCATAATATTCCGAATCCGGACCAGTTTCATGGTCTCCGGGTTCAGACGGATCATCGTCGCCATCGGGTGGATCGGGTCCACCATCCCCACCAGTCCCGCTCCCATCCATAGGATCGTCGCGGCCCGGGAGCTCATCGGCAGGGGAGGTAGGGGAATCTCCCTCCGCCCCATCGCCGTCCCCATCATTGTCTCCACCCGCAGCGCCTTGGCTGGGTGAAGCCCTTTTGGCCCCGCCTGCATCCGCAGGTTCGGGCTGTACATTTGGATGCTTCGGGATGGGAAGCCATCCCCATCGACGCATCGGTCGACAGGGACGGAGTGCTGTCTCCTGGTTGAGGATTATCCCCACCAGCGACATCTGGAACGCTGCCCCCACGCTTAGGTGGCGGCTCCGCCTGGTTAGGCTTCGCCGGCTCAGACAGACTAGCCGGGGGGCTCTTCACTGCCTTCCGCGGTGGAACCTCGGGCCGAGGGTGCGTGATCTCGCTATTCGCGGGAGCGCATCCCCCCGAACCCCCATCGGTCGGTGCGTCAGCACCTGCCGCTTTAGGCACGGGTGGGCCCGTGACCTCAGGTGCTTTGACCTCGGGTCCTTTAGCACAAGGAGCGGCACCCTTTGGCGGAGGGCCAGCGGCCGAAGACAGGCACGGCAACGACCCTCCCACCTTAGGTGGCGCGCAGCTGGGACCCCTTGCGGCCCCACCTCTCCATCTGTTAGCGGCTTCGCGCTTGGACAGGGATGGAAAGTCATCGGAGTACGCGTCCTTGGGAAGCTCGGGAGGATCAGGCTTAGCCTTCAACAACT